CCCGTGTGTCTGCGTCCGACCCTCAGTCGTGTCGAGTGAGTGAGTGTGTGTATGTGCTCTCACTCTCTCCCTCTCTCCTCTCCCTCGGCTCTCCCTGTTTCCCTCAGCCTCCCGCTCGTAACAATATCCCCTCCTCACTGTCATCATATCCTGCTCTTGACGAGAGTATCCCCAGCATGTTCCCCAAAGTTCTGTCCATTTTCATCACTTTTTAAGCTGTTTTTTCCAAAATTCATTCCCTCGACCCTTTACCCATCCTATGCTATACGCCTCCTATCCTCCCTATCCCATGATCATCCTCGCTCATGGCCCGTGCCTTGTCGCACGGGTCCACCTTAAATACTTTACAACTATTCTCCCTATTGGCGACCTACCTCCTACGGAGCCATCCTAACAACTTTACAACTATTCTACTGCTATCACTTCCGCCGCTGGAACATGAAGTACCACAGCACTCCTATTCTGGGTCCTTCTCCAGCCGGGGCACGTGATGCAGCAGAACAGGGCCAAACTGTAACCGGCCGGTGTCAGGATCACGAGTCAACAGGTGCGGGTACTGATCCCATCTTTTTCCAGAATTCCTCCTCCTTCACACACACCCCATGTCTATAACGTCGAAAATCTTCCTGCACGGCAATCCTCAAATTCTCCATCGCTCTTTCCTGGTATGCCTGCAGTGAAGGTGCTGCTCCCTGTCTGCAGCGGTTGTTTTTCAGTGTCCATACAGCCCACAGCACCGCTGCCCGAATCATCTCTGCAGACAGCAGGTCTCCAAAGGCTGGCTTGGGCAGAATCTTGCCTTAGTCTCTTTTTATTTTTCAATTGAACGTCCTTATGGACCTGGCTCCTCATCCATTCTGGGGAGCATCAGTTCAGTTCATTCTACCAAGAAGGACAAAAAGAAGATACATGTTATGACCCACTCCATGCCCCTCATATTATCGTAGCCAAAAGTATTTGAGTCGTGATCTGCTTAACAATAGCCATATGCATGTGCCTTTCAGCCACAGGCTCTTTTTGACATCCACTAAAATCAGCTAGCACTGGGTGCAAATTATTATTACCATTACCTTGCAGTTCTCATATCTTTGTACAACTGCAAATACTCTGATCGGAGTTTCCACCGCCTTCCATGGCTACTTTGATGCACACCTGGACCCAAAGACACCGTTCGGAATTCCTGCAACACAAGAGAAACTGGACAATGGTGGAAGAGACCGAAAATAAAACAGGTCAGAAAATAAAAGGCTTTGGTACCAGATCACTACCCCTCCATGCTGGAAGTAATGTTGCATCAAGAAAGCGTTTGTTCACGTGAAGAGAATACCATTGCTCATGCTGAAAACATTACTTCCCTGTGGAAGCATACAACGACTATCATCATGGGGCCTTCTAGCTTCTAGCTTCCACCTTCTACCCAAACGGTCACTGAAGTGTTCAAGTTCTGGAACACACCACGTACCATCGTGTACGATCAGGGCCCACAGGCTTCATGCTCTGCAGAAACATTGAGAAAACAGATAATCTAAGAAACAGAGGCATTCACACTCCCAGATCTCAAGGATGAAAGCATACATTAACTTACTGGCATGTTTCCACCATAGTGCTGGATCTGTCGATACTGGAACTTGGGGTCTTCCTTGCCGGAACTGCACATAACAGAGCAACACAATAGAGTCAGAGAAAGGGAATACGGCAATCATTCTTCCCTCACTCTTATCTCCCCTGCGCCGCCTATTCCACACCTAAAGCTGTGTTCCACCCCTCTCCGCGAAGGAATGCAAGTTGATTTAACCCTATAGCTAGCTTGCGACTGAATGGTACACACATGAAACTTTGGATAAACAGATCATGCGCTCAAGTCCTGCTGGATGAAATATTAGTAGAGGCTGTTCCCCTTTCATGAAAGGGGAGGGTCAATCTAGCCCACATGGATGGCATCAATATCCTATTCCAAACAACGCTTAGTACCTCCAATAATCTCCAGTACCTGATAATCCAGTGAAAGGATTCATTTTACCGGCTGTGTGCATTTGATGTGAGCAAGTTCAGAAAGTCACCTTCTCAGTACTACTACGACAAAGAAGTGATATGCAGAGTGCCTCCAGCCTTGTGGTTCGCCCCAAAAAACATGCTCTCTTCAAGGAATCTCATTGTATTACTTTTTTTCCCCTATTATTGTGATGAAATGACAAAAAGACAGGCTGCGACCTGAACAGCCTGAACACGAAGAGCTTCAGATGGGAGGAAGGAAAGAAAATTGAAAAGGCATGACAGAAGAAAATTGTCGAGACAAAGAGCCAGAAAATTTGTAAGTTCCACAGATACTGCCTTCAAACATTCTTCACATAATGAAAGACAGAACAATATCCCTTGCTCATACCATTCCCATTCGTGTCAATTCTTGCTATGGTCTCTCTACGTGAAGAACGTGGCAGCACAGAAGTCCCTCTCAGCGTTTCGTCCGCCTGTGCAATGGAACTCCTCAGGAGGGTGAGACTCTCCAAAGTTCTTTTTGCCAAAAGAGGCCTAGGGCTTGCCTCATCATTGGCTTTATACTAGTTTATAGTCCTGGTATCTTCTCGGCCACTGTCGAACGTGAAAACTTGCCGTCACCTGACCCTGTCGCCATCTGCTGCAGCGCTATCCGCGGCTGTTCTCAGTTTCGTAGTGTTCTCCTTCCCTTGGTGGATCCATGAAGAATCAAGAAAGAAAGATTAAAACGTTACATTCAACATCTCTAAATATTTGGAAAACTTACAACGCTCGGATTCCATAGTTCCCGTGTGTCACAACAAACCTCAAATGTATCAGTGCTCTTGACATATGCATACAGCCCTAATTTCCGTCTACGAATAAAAAATGAATAAGCAAGCACATCATTCCTCGGAATCTGATAGAGGCCGTCTCAAGGTTCTTAACATACGCATACAGCCCTGGTTCCTGTCTATGTGCATCCAAATAAATGAATTAAACACTTTGTTCCCCGGAATCTGATTGAGACGACCGATTGCGCCTTACGCGAGGATCTGGGTCCCTGCTGCAAATGTGCCCGCCCTAAGTGAAGGCGGGCCTAACAAATCCCGAGAGGCCCTAAGCTGTCAAATTCATATTTGGGGTCCAGGCAGTTTCGTCGTGCCAGTTGGTTGAGGAAACACAGGCCGAGCAGCAAGGAAATTCCACGGCCTTCCAGGCTCTTCCGAAAGCACAGGCCCTGGGCAAGATTCGCAGCCTCATACACAGACAGTTGGGAGGCCCAACCGAATGAGGCCCAGTAGCTGCACCAGAGGCGCAGCATCCTGGGGCCTACCGGAAGCTTCTGGGCCCAGGCCCAGGCCAGCCAGGCTGCGAAGGCAGGACAGCTATTTTCCATATAGGAAAGAGCTCGCTGCCTGGCAGCTCATTCAGGCACTCGCATGCTGGCAGCAGTGCTGCTGGAGCTTATGCTCGTAGGCTGCTGGTGCCGCTGAGAGGCGAGGTGCAAGCGCGTGCGGTCGTGCAAGAAGCAGGGCGCTGCTAAGGGCAGCGCCATAGCCCAGCCTCCATAGCTGGCTGAGGGCTTGGATGTACAGTGAGGCGCAGGGGGGGTCTTCGGGTGTATAAGAGGGAAGACGTGGGAGTAAGACGAGGGAGAGAGAGAAGGATGATGATTATGATGATGTGAGGGCACATACCTGGTATTGGCGATGGTCTGCATGAGCAACATCTTCAAGTGCTTCGGAGGCTGCTGACGTCAACAGTTGCATTGTCAATTAGTAGGCTAGTAGTAGCTGTGTAGGGAGTAGGCTGGGCGCCGAGCGCCAAGTAGGGAGATAGGGACTGGATACATATGTTGGTGGTGGTGAGAGCAAGCTCTCATTGACACTGGTTTTCAGTGCTACGATTCTCCATTGGTGTCATATCGGTGCAATGCTGCTTTCTGAACACTGTGATACGATCTGGCTTTCAATGTGATTGTGCAATCTGAATATTGTCATTTCGCTTTTGCTCATTTTCGTTGCACTTATGTCTACTGGCCTAAGCCCGGTCTCTGTTCACTGACTTGTAAGTCTGCGTTAGATGATGACCTTTCATCTGTCTGGATTAGCCAATTCAGTCCCGTTCCCACAACGTATGTCTACTCCATACTTACCGATCCAGACCCAGATATCTGTAGGAGCAGGAACACGAACAAACAAAGAGCCAGATAATTTTTTTTTCATACCTTGCCGTTTTCTTCCTAGAAACAGTTTGAACAGGTACAAAAGGGTAATGGAATGTATAAATGTGTTGCCTACCTGAAAAGACCTGTTTCGTCATGAAACAGACGAACCTAATCAGAGACTACCATCAGATTCAGAGTATATCAAGAAGTTCCGAGAACAAAAATCTGGAAGTGCCGACAAGTTCAAAAGGCAAAATCTGGAAGTGACGACAAGGAAATTACAGAAATTTCAAAAGGCAAAATCAGAAAGATATGTGCCAAAGAGCAGGTTCAGAACTTCGATGCAGGCAAATATCAAGCAACGCAGACCCGGAAGTTAATGGCTCGAAAACCAGACGGTCCCTGGTCCTGGCCAAGCTCTCTGGGGGAGATGTTGGAAAGACTACTGTAACAGCAGCAGCGAGAGAAGGCTCTCTCCGGAAACCTTACCCAACTTGGCTAAGGCGCCTAGATAGACCGTTACAGCAGCGTGTGATGAAATGCTTAGACCATTACGGATCCAAAGAAATGTAACAGACTTACTTCTGAATGAGATTCTTCTGCTCGTCAGATGGTGCCTATACTACATCGACACATCAAAATGATACGTCAAAACACCATGAAAATTCAAACCATGAATCCACGGACGAGTCTGTCGCACAGCAGGACTATGTCACTTCAAGCCAGGCCATGGAGCTTTTCGTCTTTGTAGTTCTTACTACTCCTTAGTACCTTGTTAGTTATTGTCCTTTTGTTCTGTGATAGAGAGAATGCCTTCTCTGAAGATGCAAATCAACTCAGAGCAATCAGTTGAGACTCGAGAGGCTCATATCAGTCTTTTTGGGGGCATGTTTACTGAGAAGGGTAATAGTACACCTGTGCCCCAGTGATGAGCAGACGTGAGTTCAACCCTGACGGAACGGCTACCAGCGATGTACAAGACCGCAATTAGCGCAAGACCTGAGTCAAAAAGTCGTAATGGCAGTATCTACATCTACATCTACATACTACTAAAGGAAAAGCCAGGCCTCACGTGGCGCCGGCGCAAGACCCGGTGTTCAGGTTAGGGACGCTGGGTGACGGGCCAAGGAACGAACTTGAAGCACCATCGGGCCCACGAACCGGCGTGGGGCACGAGGGAAAAGGCGAGTGCCGTTTCGTGGCCGGTGGGGAAAGACGGGAGGCCTGGTTTGCAGCCATCGAGCCCGCCTGGTCGGCTTGCCCTTGCCCGCCCGCTTCCTGCTGCCTCGTCCTGCTTTCCATGTTCTAGCAGAAGATTCATGCGATTTTGCTCATCCTATCGATGGAAGTAGAGTGGGGACAGCCGCGGAGTTAGAGACTTACCTGTTGGCCGGTGTGTTTGGGGTTGGAGACTTACCTGTTGGCCGGTGTGTTGTTCATCCTGTCGATGAAAATCTCTCTCTCTCTCTCTCTCTCTCTCTCTCTCTCTCTCTCTCACACACACACACAAAAAATAAAAAAAAGTGTATATTACCATGTTCTAGCGGTAGATTCATTCGATTTTGCTCATCCGATCGATGGACGTAGCGTGGGGCCAGCCGCGATATTGGAGACTTACCTGTTCTCT